TCCAGAAATGTTTTGCCATACCAGATTTTCTATTTTCCCTTTTGAATTTTAAGCTTTTAAATCTTAGAATCCTTTTATGCCTAGAAGAAGGAAAACTCTGAATTCAAAACCAGTTGTTATGCTAATTGGCAGATGGAAGTTCTTCATCCTTGGTTGCTAACCAGTCTGGACCACTCATGGAAATGTGCTGGCCTGGAAAAATACACAATAACTGAAATTCTCAAGTAATGGGTTGGGTAATTTACTGCAGGAAAGCAATAGGGCCTAATTAAAAAGAACTTTTTTTTTCAATTAACCTTATTTGTTACGTCGTTTCATGTTGCATTTTGACATGCTGAACATTTCACCTTAGAAAAAGAGCTGCAGACATAAAAATCCATTCTTCTTTTTATATCACTGAATGATTAATGTTACTTATCTTATTCTTTCATGTTAGAACATCAATACAGCTTTCAATTCATGTCTCTTCTCGTTTTCCATTACTTGTCAAAAAACATGGTTATTTACTCATTGTATGACTAATTCTTTTGCCTTTGGTGTGTCTGAGTGAGTGTTTCTTCTGTGTTTTTTTTTATTTATTTGTTTTTTTTTTTTTATCTCTCAATTCTTTAGATTTTATATTAATCCCCACCTCCCATTTCTGATTACTGTTCAGTATTAGAATAAATCTCCACATTACTTGGTGACCCAGAACATTGACTGAATTCATCACAGAGAAAAATAATATTGAAATTTATTTTATTGATTTAAAAATTATTTCACTACAGATGTAAAAAGTAATTCAATATCAGATCCTCTCTTTAAATATAGTCTCCTTGCTTCAAAATCTGCCTTAAATAAGACCTTTAAAAAAATTTTAATATTTCTTTTCTCAGTAAAAAAATATAACAAACACTTTTAAAAAAAAAATGCCAAAAGCAGAATTTGAACATATGAAACATCAACTCTTATATAAAGGTCATATGTTAAATAAGATTTTTCTTTTGTATAATCTGATGTACGACTAGTCTTCCAATTACAGTTTCATGATATATGAATAAACTAAAGATCATAATTCAAACTTTGAAAATGCAATGAAAGATAATGAAATTTTACTTTTAAAAGTATTTTTAACACTCTTTGAATATTAATAGTGGTCAAGCAGTTCCTCATTTTACAAAAGATTCTTATATACCATAATAATCCTTTGGTAAATCAAAGTGGACCTGACAAGTACTTTTCACATTATTTGCACATTACAATATTAAGAAATATTTATCTCAGGTTAATATTCTGGATTAACAAGTAAGTGAATGTTCATTCAAATGCTAACAGTGACCAGAAAAAGGATGGGTTGGATTAATATCAAATCTATTTCTGAACTAAAAACATAAAAATTATTACAAAAGAAATTAAAGAAAAAAAAATTGCCTAGTTTTACCATTTGTCAGTAAGTTTGATGTTTATGGTTAATAAAAATATTTAAAAATTTATACCTTACTTATATACTAGATTTTAGTAAAGCATTGTTCTTCAGTACTAAGGCAAGAAACAGTGGATGAGAAGGGAATTAAATAAATTTAAAAAGAAAAAATTGTGTGTGTAAAGAATAATTTAAGATTAAAAAGAAAAAGGTCCAATAGGTTGTTGGAAGTATATTGTATTTCTGAAATATGATATATTTAACTGGGTCAACTGAGAACCCCCCCTACCCCTTGCAAGAAAAAAGTAATACATGCAGGATATAGCAGTGCTTTTCCATTGGTTCATGAATTGATGAATCCGCAGATAGCAAGAATTCAAGACTTCCTGGATTAAAAAAAAAAAAAAATTCTTCAAAAATACTTCGTAGTGAATACATGAGTCTACAATAGTCTGGAACAGAGGAGTTTTTCTCACTCACTACACCCATTCCATCAAGTAGTTGGTAAAATTTATCTATTGGGGAACAATAAAAGTAGCCAATACAAACCATATGCATTGTGCTATTTATTAGTACAGAAAATCTTTCTCCTGATGAAAAGACAGCTGATTTGATTTTCAGTAAAAAAGAAAAATCAACTTTAGTGTATTGACCTGAAGACAGTTTAGAAGACTAATGCAGTTGCACTGCCTACTATGGAACAGTGATCATAGGTGCCAAGCACCAATTTAAGCCATGTCAATGTTGTAAAAAACAGGTCAATAATGGCTACAGGGGAATGTTTATGTCCTTCAGTTATCAAATATCTTAAGTTTATTATATACAGTTCTTACATAAAGAAAGTTTGGTTAAGACAAAATATATGGTTTTCATCAAGAGAGAAAGCCCAAGATGTGAATGGTTAATTGAAGATGTCCCATATAGACATTTAAATAAGTATTTTAATGCATGATGGAAAATGTGATGCTAAAATTTGAAGGTGCATAGAAATAACAAAAAAAAAAATCTTCCAAATGCTAAGCAAAGTATTAAGAAATAGGAGAATTTTGTTAGATACAAAAAAGAGTGCTGAACAGCCATGTAATATCAATCCTTTTATATGACAGTGACTGCTGGACAATTTCCTCACAGGTGAAGAGGAGAGTTGAGGCAATAGAAATGTGATTCTATATAGAAGGATGCAAAGCATGTGAACGATAAAGAAGTTTTAAGGTAAATAGGAACATAAAAGACACTTATACGTAAAATCAGAGACACTTGAAATTTCTGGAACTCATAATGAGAAATGAAGGCCTGAAAAATTTGTTGTTCATTTTTTAATTTTCATGATTAGGATGTCTTATTCTAAATAGCATGTGAATAAATCAGATGTAAATATAAGCGTGTTTTGTAAAATTGCATTCATTTTCAATTTGGTTCTTTTGAAAGTAATATCAAATATTGTCTACCAGACAAAGAACACAAAATGTTGACTTATGTTTAGAACATAATCCTTAGTATTACCAATAATAAAAGGCCCACTGAAAAACTAATATTTTTATTCATTAAAAAAAAAAAAGAGATGGGTATTCTGGACAAAAAGAATTTGATGGTTTTAAATTCATCTATTGTCTGCTTTCATAGGTCTTCCTCCTCCCAAAAATTTCCATTGAGATATATCAGGTCGAGAATTCTTCTTTGTTTCTTCTGACTCATTCCTTCCAACCATCTTATAGATATCACTGTCGGCAGATTCATCTACAAGTTGGTCAATGTAGGTGTGATGAGGTCTTCCAAGTGATCTTTTGCCACACCATGGGTTCCATAGGAAGGTGTCACTCACAAGTTCTGACTACTTCTCTAGGAGTGACTAGCTAGCTGAAGCCTTTTCTCTTTTAACAAAACAGAAATAGGAGGAAGGTGTCCATACAGGCATTTCTTTGTTGGGTGTTTCTTCCAGCTGATGCCCAATGGAACTCATACCATCCTTGTATAAAATGATCTAATTAAATGGAAATCTAACCTGGTCAGTTAAGGAGGTTGCAATGAAATATCTTTATGGAACAATCCATCATCACCATCATGTCCAATGACCCAGTGTGGCCGTAGGATGACGGTGAAGCTGGACATCTGACCAGTTCCTTCCACATATCTGGTTTGAAAGCCAGAGAAGAAGTCATTCATATGTAGTGTGTCCTAGGTAAGTAGGCCTGGTCAAACCACAGTCTGTGTTCTACAACTTGAAGCCTCACCTTGGTCATAGACACATGGCCATTGGTGGAACCCTCTGGCCTGGTTGTTCACTAGTTAACTGTCAATTCCAAGAAGATTCATTTTCCATTTGACAGGTTTTTAATCTTGCTGGTTGTCTAGTCACCATACTCACCAGAAAAGCCTGGTGGGGGAACCAGTTGAGTTACCAATGCAGCAGATAGTATTGGGTTACATGGTACAAGTAACATTTTTTTTAGAGTGATCTGACATAAGTTTATACATATGAGTTTGTCTTTAGTTTATTTTACTAAGGTGTGGAATTGAAGTGTATCATTTTAAAGAACACACATCTTGTTGATAAAAGCTGGACAGTTTGTGTAAAATTGTACTCTTCCCTAGTCAATAACACTTCTACTTCAGTGGACATAATTATACATCTTTACAAAACTTACATATCTGCTGTTGACATATATATTTTCAAAACACTGAAATGTCACAAACTGACAGTGCTATATCCAAACCCACATAGGCATGTAGTAGCATGCAATACAACCTGTTTTGTGACATATTTTTTTATGTTGTATGTTGAGGGTGTTGTTTAGCTCAGTCTGTGCTGCAAATGTATCTGAACAAAACCAAAATGGCGGCATTTGTGATAAATCACTGTCAGTGTCTTTATAGTCATTTATTTTCAGTAGATGGCAATTTCCTATTTTTTCCATGGATGGGCCAGCACAGCCAGGTAACAATACTGTAATAATGTAACAGTGAAAGTGTTAACATGACTGCTGCGATTAACTAACCTTATACTTAGAGTTCATAATAAACAATTTTTTTTTATTCTACAAACTGCACAGACATATGGTTGGAGCTTCGGTTTAGATGTTGGCAAAAAGAAAAAAAAATGGTTCCATAATGAGCTTTATGTCATTAGAAATACTGATTGTGTTGCCAGATAAATTCAAATTTGTTTTTTTTTTAAGCATTTTGGGAGTGCCACAAGCACGCAAGAGAGTGGAGCAAGAGTAAAGAGGCATGGAAGAGGAAAGGATGAAGAGAAGGACGGGGAATAGATCAAGGCATCTGGAGATGTCGATTGACATTGCATTTGAATATTTGGAGATTATAGCTACCAGGGAAGCAAGGAGGGAGGAAGCGAGTTCCACAGATGGGAACTGTGAGACATGAAGCTATTGGAGTAGAAGAGACGGCTACATTTAACCGTTTTGACAGTGAAAGGGTGGGACTGAGATGCCAACCTAGTAGCACGTTTAATTTCATTCAGTTTTATTAAATTTGATTTACATTATTTCTTCTTACAAAATGCATAATTACATAACAACCTGATCCATATAAAAATGGATATGGTTTTCTTATGAGATGTTTTTTGCTTTTGATTTTGCAGGAATGTACAACCCCAATTATGTGTTCTTACAAAGTAGTGAAAGTGAAATTTGAAGTGTGGGGATTGCAAACTAAAGTGGAACAATTTGGACAAAAGGTCAGTGACATTTTTTATTTTAGTTTTGAATTCTGACCCCCACCTCCATCACCTTTTTTTTTTTTTTTTTGAACAAATTTGTCTTCTATGAATTTAAGTAGAAAAATATACAAGATGAAAAACCTGAATTTATTGTTTAAAAGTCATTTAATTTAAATGTATTGTTATATAATAGCAATTCACATTTTTGATTGGATCATACAAGAACACTGAAAAGTTCTCTATCCAACCAAGGTATTCAAAACAAAAACTAAAAATTCTGGTCACTTGATCAGATTTTGGGAAGTGGGCAGAGCCAAGAACTTCAAGATTGGTAAATATTTTTTAAATGAAATATGTTATTTTGCAAAAGCAAACAATCCTATCCAGATTCAAACTATCGAACACACAACTAGAAGCCCTCAGCTTCAGTCTAAAATTTGCCACCAGAATACATATATATTACACACACACACAGGTAAATCAAAAAGTAAAGGCAATTTCCCTGTAACACATTTATTTGCACTGATGGAAGCAAATATGTCACTTTTCAACATGGTCCTCCTACAAGTCGGAGCACTTCTGGTATTGTTCAACAAGCTACTTCATCTCTTCTGGAGAGAAGCTTTTTCAGTTGCTTATGAAGCCACATCTGCACCAGTTGCTTGTTTGGGTAACCAATGCATACAAACTTTACAACACTTCAAGTCATCATGCACTATGACTTATGCAGATCTGTAGCAGCCACTTGTGCTAACAGGATTTGTTGGTTTCCCCCAATCAAGACATCTATGCACAATGTTAATAGGTGACCAGATCAGCTTTCATCTGTTAAACTTTTCTTCCCACTTTAAAGCATTCTACCAACTTCTACAGCTCATTGATTCATGGTTCATGCTCCATACTGCACCAACATCTGGCAATAGAATTCTATAAATTTGACTCTTATAAAAGTATACAGTAAATTTAAATGAATTCTAGTATTAAATGAATCCTAGGACCACTATTATAATACTGTATACCTGCTTTTGCAATCCCCTGTACATACCGTATTTGATGGCATATAAGGCGCATTTCTTTTTTACTAAAAATATCTTTTAAAATTCCCCTGTATCTTATGTGCCATATGTAGGTTTAAAATTCACAATAGCTGAAATTAGCTACCTGGCAACTCCTATTAGGTTAGACTTTAGAGTAACTTTCATATACCTATTTTCCTTATTTAAAAGGCTATTATGCTGATTAAAAGTGTTATAATTGATAATATTCATTATATTAATTTCATCACGTTTAATATTAGTATTTGTTTCACTAAAATTATATGCAATAAATTCAAATTATATATTTGTAAAATATATTTGTTTCATTAATAATTTTCTTGTGATAACTTCCAGTTGCATTGGTATAAATGCAATCAGAATTTTTATATCCTAATTATTCCAATAAGATGTTTACAAGACAATGTTATACAGATCATATAAAGGAAAATTTTTGACTTAATTTTAATGGTAACTCTACTGTTTTGCTCAATTGTAATAATTGCTTGATTTTTATTTTGTTTCCTTGCCTTTGGATATAATAAAGTTTTTATAGGCTCGTGTTCTTTTTTTTTTTTTTTTCTATTATTTTTCATTTAATTGTAATCATGGCTTGTTTTAACCAAAATAATACCTCATAAATATAGCCTAGGCTGTACCATTTACTAATAATTTTACTAATTACTAAATTTTTCTTGATTTGCCCTACCCTGAAATTGGGGTGCATCTTATACACCCATACATCTTATATGCTGTCAAATATGATAATTAATAACATCTTTGTAAATGTATACTATTAAGTAATAGTCTATATAAAAATATCTACCTTTTCCATAAAAAGAGAAATGTGCTCAATGGTTTTTTTGGTACAACTTTTTTGTTATTTTTTTACTTCTTTATTAAGCAACTGTTTTTCTGTTTTCAAAATTCTCTCAATGTTTTATTAATCCATTTTAAATTTGTTTTTTTTTGTTTTTTTATTTGGCATCATTTGATGCTAAAAAGTGATGTCAACCATTTTTCAGGCCCTTAACTTTGTGCAAGTCTTTCTAGCCTAGTACTTGATAAATCACCACAATCTTTGCAAGTCCCTTATATCTTTGGATAAATTCATTCCACTTTGAATAATGGGAAACAGATCTGTATAAAATAGTAATAGCCAGAACTATACTAAAAATTCCATAGCTAGAGCAAGTAAACAAGTCTTAAAGAAAATGGTAACAGAAAGAATACTTTTACTCAGAATCAGAAAAAGACAAATGAAATTCCGTGTACACATTATGAAGAAGGTAGGCTTAGAAAACTTAACCCTTACATATTAATTGCAAGGGAGATAGGGATAGGCAGTGAGACACACCTGACGAGCTTGTGTGAATGGATGGTAGAATAGGGGTGGGAGCCTTAGCAAAGGAAGAAAAACTGTTAAGAGCTACAATGGATAGGAAGTTGAGGAGAGCCATAATTGCCTATGTCCTTAAGGGATATGGCACATAGAAGAAGAAACAAACTCAATGAACAGGGTAAGAGACTGAGTTAATGGCACTATTAGAGAGAATTAACCCTAGAACATTAACCATGGGTATATAGTACCCAGCGCAAATTTTCCTATTTCTAATTACAATTTTCAGTACCTGATTTTCTTACCTAAATAATGTTTTTCAGTTCCTATTAATATTAACTCAAAGTACAAAGTTTGAAGTGCCTGCATGTAAAATATTTCAAATAAAGACTTATATTTAATTTTTTTTTTTGATATTTTCAAAATCGAGTATGATATACCCATGGTTAGTAGTGGTGTAACTTTAATTGATGGTTAGTCTTCTAGGGTTAATTCGTCTTCAAACTTTATTTTATGCTTGTGTTGAAATTTAACAAGTATCAAGAGTTAAAAAAAAAAACTGTCAAGTCAATGCTATTAAGTCACAACTCAATTTATTTTATATTTGATACCAATATATTTTAGATTACTAATAACTAGCCAGGTTTCAGCCTATCCTACCAAGAAAAAAAAAATGATACTATTTAATGAGCTTCACAAACTTAGGTAAATTAGTTCACTTTTTACCTGACAGTTTTTCTGAAATTTATTGCCCAAACAGGTTTTGAGTTAAATAGACTGAAATTATTTTTATCATCTTATTATCTTTATTTGGTGATTTTATTTATTTATTTTTTTATATGAATTTTCAATTGATATTTCTTTTAGTTTAGTTGATTTATTAAGTCAGGTAAATCATATCATGCAGATATAAGTAGAGCATTATCAATATAACAGAAGTATGTTAATTGTTTGGGTAAACTTCTTAGAATTTCTCAAATCTGGTCCTTTCCAAAATATACCTTTGTTATAGTGATAATGATGCTCTACTAACCTTTTAGTATAAATCAATATTTAGCCCTTAAAATGCCTACATCTTAGTCATGTCTTTCTGAATAAGACTTTGTTTCTTGTAAATTATCAAGTTTAACACCCAGAAAGAAATCTCTAATCTTCTCTCTCTCTCATATATATATATATATATATATATATATATATATATATATATATATATATATATATATATATGTGTGTGTGTATGAGATTTTTCTCTCTCGTATATACAGGGTATATCAAAAATACTTTTACAAACTTTGAGGCAAGTTCCTCACATCAAAACAAGGACAAAAGTCCATATAAATATATGTATGCAAATCCTTTTTTGTGTCGTTTTCTCTCTCTTTCACACACACACATATATATATATATATATATATATATATATATATATGATAAAAATATAGTTTTATGCTATATTTATAGGTAAAAGTGCTCAAGTGGCCACAGTCTGTGTCATGCTTGAATGCCATCTTCATGCCTAAAAATTGTATTCAAGCATGACACAGACTGTTGCCACTGGGTGTTGACTTGAATGTCAACTTTTACATTTATATATGCTCTATCCTTTATATTGATCACTTTTAACCATAGAGGTAGCATGCCTTAAAACTATATCTTATCATATATACATATATAAACTATATTTTATCTTGAATAAAAACAAAAGGAAAATGTTTCTTTACAAACACAATTGCCTTGATAAAATCCATCAGGGGACAAAATGTAGCAGCAAAAAAAAGATTTTATTTTGTCTTTATTCACAAAGGAATAGATAGTTCTGCTAATCACCCTGTTCACACTCCTTTCCAGTCTTTTGAGCAAGAGTAGAAAATAACACTGATATTGCATTTTAACAGATATATTTACCAAAATTACACAAAATTATCTTGAAATACTAAAGAGTAAATTTATTCAATAAACTTGACATTGGCTTCAATTACAGCCTCCAAATGACTTTGGAATCTCCTGCAACACTTCTGGATGGTCTTGTTTAAGTTGATGAATGCTGCCATACAAGGAGTTTTGTTGCTCTCTCCCTCAACTATGCTGCACACATAATAATCAAAGGGGTTGCAATCTGGGGAGTTAAGTGGCCAAAATGTGAAAAAAACAAAGCTTGTTTGGTTGGAGGGTATGCCTGAGTTTGTTCAAAAGATTTCATCTTGTCGTCCATGGCTTGGGATAAAAATTGACCCTTTCTCATCTTCTATGAGAAATGCCAAATATCTTTATGTACTACCTATCTGATAAAAAACTTAGACACTTCTGTGTCCCTGGCTAATTGACCCCCTTCAAGTCAATCGGGTTCTTGTCAATCATGGCCTGGATCTCACTAACAAATTCAGGATTTCTTTTCTTACCAGAATGATCAGACTTAGCTTTTGAAGCTGCTGTACCTTCATAATCACCATTAGACTCATCCAACTTTTCCGAATCATCTGGCATGTCCTCAGATTGACACCCAAACACTCTGAAAAGTTCGGAGCTTCTGGCATGAATGCCAAGCAGTACAGCATGCTGTTTCCAAATTTCTGGTGGAGTAAATTGCATCATGGCACTTTTTTTCTCACAGATGGTGCCAGGCTGACCTTACTATACTGTGTAGT